TTTACTCAAAAGAAATACAAGCAGAACTGGAGAGGCCCAGAGCCTGAGAGCACTGGCTGCTCTTCCTAAGGACCTGAGTTAAAGTCTCAGTACCCCATGGTGGCTCACATGTCTATAACTCCAGTTCCAGGGGATATGATGGTCTCTTCTGGTCTCCCAGGGCACCAGGCATGGAAGTGATATACATATATATATATATATGCAGGCAAAATACCCATGCACATATAGTAAACATAAACAAATGAAGTTTTTAAAGAAGGCAAACTAGCCTTAAAGGCTCACACATACGCATTCCGGGAGAGTAGCTGCGTTTGGGATGGTGGCCAGATGTCTAGATAAGAGCAAAGTAGAAAACCGAGGGAATAAGTTCTCTCAGCTTGGCATGCTAAAGGCATCTCTTTGTTTCCCACCTTGGTTTGTTCCAAAGCGGTGAATGAACCAAGAGCCTCATAGACAACTTTCAAAAGCACTGGGGGCTAAATAAATTCAACAAGTAAATATTAGACATGTCCCGGGTCTGGGAAAAGGGAGGCCTTGAGTCTCATGGTGACTGAGAGCGTGCTCTCTTGGGGTTTGTCTGCAAGTATGTACATGTAAGAATGGAATGAGAGATGTGTGTCATGTCTCTCAAACATAATTATCCAGACTGCTGCCAGTGTTCCAAGTGATGTCATTTTTAAATGTTTATTTTTTTCTCTGATGACGAAGAGATGTGTTGTACTTGAATTAAAGTAGGAGAATCCCTTCTTTTCTCGTCAGCTCCCTCCCTCCCACATTTCCTATAAAGCAACCACTACCAGTTATATCTGAATAGGTGAACATATTTCACAGCATTCAATTCAGTTGTGAACAAGTGACGGATGAGTATTTTATTAGGTTGAAATTTAAAATACATTAAAACGACATTGATATCACACGAATGTCGGTTTTTAGTATAGTTACTTCCACGTAACTAGATATGCAGTGAATCCAGACAGAGTTGGAAACAGAGGGTGCCTGAAGTAGATAAATGGCTGTATCTTGTGCTTTCCACAGCTTAGTTTTACACCCATGTGGGAATGATAGGTATTATCACCGTCATCACCATTATCAGTTAATATTTTATGATGCCTTCATTAAGTGAAGGCTTTGTACTAGGTACAGCAAGGACTTCACCTTTCTAGAAGACAACGTCATAGAATTTGATGAGTGAATCATTTTCACTGTCGGGGCAGAGGTAAGATTAAAGGTTTTGCCATGGTGATAAGTTTTATAAATAGCTATAGCCCTTCAAAGACCAGGGTAAGCGTCAGAGTGCTGACTTCCAAAGTCCTTCATGGAGAGAAATTAATTACAGATGCTAAGAGTCTGAGAAATAGTGGGATTTTGCAGAGAGGTTGAGGAAGAATAAGGCCTAAAAAAAATGACTACTGGAGTTTGTACAACATGGCGCTGATAAGCTTTGTGTATGGAGACTAGATAAGAATCAGGTGGCAGGAAGTTGACAGATCGGTGTGGCCAGGAAAAAAGGAGAGGAGCTTGACCACAAAAGGAAACTCAAACATTAGGTGGCAGTGCAGGGAGAGACCAAAGTCAAAGGAAGATGTCCCCAAGAAAGTAGGAATTCAAAAATGGCACATTTTGCTAATTATTGAAGTCGATTGGTATATAAACAGGAATCCATTATATGGTTCTTTCTATTTGATAGATTTATTTTAATTAACTTAGTATTAAGTTAGAAAAATAAAGGCAAAGCTGAACATGTGAGAAGAAAGTAAAGAAATGAAATACAAGACAGTATTAAATGTAGAAGAGGGAACAGCAGGCCGGAAAAAGTGGCACACATGTTACTTCTAGTACTCAGGGAGGCAGAGGTAGGTGGATTGCTGTGAGTTCGAGGCCAACCTGGTCTACAAATAGAGTTTAGGACAGCCAAGGCTACACAGAGAAACTCTATCTTGAAAAACCAAGGAGAAGGGGGACACAATAATTAATTACACCATCTCAGGTGTGGATAAGGGAATTTATGACACAATAAAGACACAGAAAAGTGAAAGTAAGAATAAAACGCAGATTAAAAGAGGAAGGTAAAAAAATCAAAAATCAATAAAGTGAAAAGGATGGTAGAAGAGATACTCCAGGCTTCTATTTCAATAAAAAGGGAGGAGAAACTATGGCTTGGGGAGGAATTTGAAGAATGTGAGAAAGGGCTGGGCTGACAACGATGAATGAATACTGTAATGGAGACACACATCTGCTGATAGGTGGCAAGGTCTGTGCAGTGGGAGCCATCATGAAAGTCTAACAGGCTCACACTGGGAGACAACCCCCTCTTCTCCCAAAAACGAATACAGCAAGCAAGCAGAGAGGCAGGGATGCCGGTTCTCTTCCAACAGCAGAGCCTTCTGAGATTACCACGTTAGAAGTGGCTGCCAAGAACAGAAGTGTGCCAGAGCAAGCAGCAGCTCTTTGAGGTGCCCACAAATAGCGAAATGAGAACTCAAAGTGTGAGGACACCTAAAATGTCCACAAAGAGCAAAGTGGAAACTTAAGTAGGAGACATCCAAAATGCCCACAAAGAACAAATTGGGAGGACATAGGGGTACACTTGAGATGCCCACAGGGAGCCAAGTGGAAATTCAAAGGGAGGTGTGGACATCCACTTGATCCCAAATAAATACAACAATAAGTATGTACAGCACCGCCCTGTGGTCCAAGGACTGCCTTTATGAAGCTTGCTAGAGACACATTCTCAGGGCTCACCTTAGGCCTTCCAAGTCAGTGTGGATTTTAACAAGACCACAAATGATTCATCTGTTAGTCTGCATTCTGCCACTGTAACAAGTACCTACAATAATCAACTTAGTAAAAGAATAGGTTTATTTTGACATATGCTTTGGAGATTTTAGCCACCTTTGTTTAGTCCTGTTGTTTTGAGGTCTGTGCGACGTGGAACCTTATGACTGGGATTGGTGCAGTGAGGCAAAGCTGCCCATCGCATGGCTGGTACATGCCAACAATCTCCTTTAATAACGTGCCTTCTGGTGATGTGAAACCTCTCACCAATTCCCACATTATAAAATGATCCACCCCTCCCTTCTCGGTGGCACTGAGATTGAGGCCACACCTCTGATTCATGGGTCTTTTAATGCCTTGTAAGATCCAGACTACCGTGATTCACAAACTCGGTCCACAGGGGCTGTCTCTGACATGAACTCAGTGGCTGGCTCTTTGATCACCTCTTCCTGGGGGGAGAGAAAGCCTTATCAGACCACAGAGGAGGACAATGCAGCCAGTCCTGATGAGACCTGGTAGGCTAGGGTCAGATGAAAGGGGTGGAAGACCTCCCCTATCAGTGGACTAGAGGTGGGGCATGGGAGGAGAAGAGGGAGGGAGGGCAGGACTGGGAGTGGATGAGGGAGGGGCTACAGCTGGGATACAAAGTGAATGGATTGTAATAAATAAAAAATAAAAATAAACTCATTCCATTTAAGACGTACCGATTAATAGCCTTGCCAGACACGTTCATGGAACTACAGGGAATCACAGAATTTTAAGTCTCTGTCTTAGTTAGGGTTTCTATTGCTGTGAAGAGAAACCATGACCACAGCAACTCTCAGAAAGGAAAACATTTAATCGGGGCTGGCTAACAGGTTCAGAGGTCTAGGTCATTATCATGATAGCAAAAACATGCTGGCTCACAAGCAGACATGGTGCTGGAGAAGCCAAGAGTTCTACATCTGGATCAGCAGGCATCAGACAGAGAAAAAAAAGTCAGCCACTAGGCTTGGTTTGAACCTTTGAGATCCAAAGCCTATTCCCAGTGGCATACTTCCCATACTTCCTTCAGCAAGGCCACAACTGCTCCAACAAGGCCTAATCCCTTCAAATAATGCCATTCCCTATGAGCCTATGGGGGTCATTCTCATTCAAACCCCCTCAGTCTCAATCACAAACTATTGGAAATAGACACTCTGTATGGCTACTGAGGACCCAGACCTATTGAGAAACACGGTTCCCACCCTAACCCTATCTACTTTTGCCTCTGCATTCATTCACTACAGCCGCTTCACAAAGTAAGAGGTGCAGCCTAGGGCCCTCAGCCTACTCCACCTCAGCTCAGCCCCTAGGGACTTCCCCAAGCTGCCCTACCTGCTGCACCACCTTAGGATTTGGGCCCTGTGGACAGGCAACTAATATCAAAGCACAATCAGCATTCTAACTCCAGGTTCCAGGTCTCATCACAAACAAACAAGATGATAAATCATGATAACACCCTTCCCCCGAATCACCAAATCCTTTTAATGTTTCCCCTGAAGAACAACTTAGACAAAATTTAAGACGCAGAATGGAAAGGAACAATTAGAAACATAACTAAATGAATTAAAAAACATTCAAAGAGGACACCTGAATGAACTTAAAGAGAGCAGGAATACCATGATTAAAGTTTAAGAAAATACAAATGGCTGAATTAAAAAGACAGTTCAGGATGTGAAAATTGAATTCAATGGGGAGTGAAATACTTGTCAGATGTGGTGGTGCATGTCTTTAATATGAGCATTCAGGAGGCAGAGGCAGGCTTATCAGTAGAGCTCAAGGACAGCTAGTTATATAATGAGTTCCAGGCTCAACTTAGCTATGGGATAAGACCATGCCATAGCATAAGAGAGGGATGGATGGACAGATGGACAGACAGACAGACAACAGATAGACTGTCAGTCAGGGCTTGAAGGAAAAGAATTGGATCACTCAATCAAAAAAAATGATAAATTTTTGAATACAAATGGAGTATGCGGGAATTTTGGGACACTATGAAAATACCTAAGTATGAATCATTGGCAAAGAAAAAAGAGACTAAAAGAATATAGAACCACTAAGATAGCTCTGCAGAGGATATTAAAAGAAATACTTAGGGCCAAAAAGGAAGATTAACACACAGAAGTCCACAGGGTAAAAATGACCAATACCAGGACAGTTAATCAAAGAAGATCTAAGAAACACCACAAAAAGCAAATGAAGTAATACTTACCTGGCAGGGGAAATAGCAGGACCACAAAGGTGGTTTTCCTAGTGCTTTATCCATTGCACTGAGGATGTGCTGACCACAATGATTTCCCCAAATGTGGAAAACTCAACTGCATAATTTGTGGTAGTGGGGGACTACATTCAAACTCTTCCCACCACCCCCACTTACAAAAAAACAACAAAACAAAAAAGACAAGAATTGATATGTATCTTTCAGTAATAACCCTGAATATCAACTCCAAGACAGTTATAAAGGGAGAGTTCAATAACCCACTCTGTAAAATGAACCTTTATTTGCCTGGTTCGGTTGTTGTCTTGGAGGCTTACTGCCTCCTTCTGCTGTGGAAGCTTCTAGCCTCCATACAATCTAACCTGAATGTTTTTAGCCTCTGAGACTTACTGCTGAATAAGCTCACCATTTCTTGTTCTTTCTGAGCTCTGGGCTGGCTGATTCAACTCAGCTATTGTGGCTCAAACTTCTCTCCCAACTAACTAACTCAATCTGGCTTTTTCTTGGTCTCTGAATTGCTCTGCTTGGCCTCAAACTAACTCAGGGAGTCTGCTCTAATCTCCTGGATCCTTCTCGTTCTCTGACTCATTAGGTCTTCACCTGAGTTCTCTCTCTGCAAGCACTTTCTCTATTACTGTCCTGGTAGAACTGCCTCTTCCCTCCCTACATATTGCCCCTTACCTAGCTTCCCTATCCTCTCTCTTCCTGTCAACACTTCCCTGTCAACTCTCTGAGAGTTAGGCTTATACTATTCTGTCAAGTCTTTCTCTGATTTGTTACTGTTTCTGCCACTTAATTAGACATCACGTTCACACTTGGGTTATCTACGAGTTTATCTTTACCTCCATTATTTGCAGTTAAAGGCATATATCACCATGCCTTTAACCCCAAAGGCTTTTATTTACTTGATATTTGTTTTTTACCAGGCAGGTCTTGAGCTCAGATCTTCTTGATTCTGTCTCCTGGATTAAAGGCATGTTTTATTCCATCCAGATCACAGGGACCTACAAGGTCTTCTGATGTGATCTTTTGCTAGAACAGCCATGTTCTGGATTAAAATTCCTCTACACCACTCTCCTCTCAACAAGCCAGGTCATTCTGACATAAACCAAACAGACACATTGGAAGTAAACAGCACTATAAATCAAATGGACATAACAGACATTTACAGAACATTCCACAAAACATTTTTAGTGCACATCAGCTGGAGAGAAGCCTCCACAGTTAAGAATGCTTACAACTATTAAAGAGGATCCAAGCTTAGTTTCCAGCATCCACATAGCAACTCAGCCATCCGTACCTATAGTTCCCAGGGATCTGATGTCCTCTCCTAGTCTCTATGGGCTTCTTCATTCACACGGTACACATACATATACTCAGGCACAAACACATACACACAAAATAAAATAAATATTTTTTAAAAAATGTAATGCATGTACTTGTCAGCAAGTCAGATAACTGTCTCCAAAATAGAACACATATTGGGACATAAAGCAAACCTCACAAAAATATAGGAAACTTTAAATAACAATCTTTGTCCTGTCTGATCACAACAGATTAAACCTAGATTCCAACAGCAAGAGAAACTACAGAAGACACACAAACACAGAAATTAAGCAACATACTATTGAATGTGGGGTCACCGAGGAAATTAAAAAAGAAAATTTTAGACTCCTAGAACAAAACAAAAATGAAAACACAAGATTAAAAGATCTGTGGGATACAATAAAGGCAGTTCTAAGAGGAAATTTCATTGTAATGAGTATCCATATAAAAAATCTTTAGAGACCCCAAATAAACAACTTAATGATGTACATTAAGTCTTTGGAAAAATCAATAATAAACCAACTCCAAAAGCAGTAGACAGATAGAAATAAATAATACATCACATGAATGGATTCAAAGTCAGAAATTATGTAATCTTATCAAGAAATGCAGGGAGAAAAAAAACTTTTGAAGAAATCCAACATCTTTTCATTATAAGAGTGGCTAGGGGCTGAAGAGTTGGCTAGGTGGTTAAAAGTACTGTCTATTCTTCCAAAGGACTCAGGTTCCATTCCCAGCAGCCACATGGCAACTCACAACTATCTGTAACTCTAGTTTCAAGGGATCTAAAACCTTCACACTAATGCACATAAAATAAAATAAAATTAATTATTTTTTAAAGAGAGAGAGTCTAAGGATGGAGGAGACATGCCTTAACATATCAAAGACTATAACCAGCAGCATACTAAGTGGAGAAAAACTCAAAACATTCCCACAAGATTAGGAACAAGACAATAATGCCCACTCTCCCCAGTCCTATTAAATATAGTGACTGATATCTTAGCTGGAGCAATAAGACAAGAAAAGAAAATGAAAAGATACAATAGAAAAATAAGTAAAATTTATTTCTGTTTGTACATGGTATGATTCTATACCTAAGATAACTTAACCAAGAAAACTCTTGAAGTGATTAACACTTTCACCAAAGTGGAAGGACACAAAATTGGCAAACACACACACACACACACACACAAAACCAAACCAAACCAAAAGAAAAGAAAAAAACAATAGTCAGTTTATAGTATCAGTGAAAATCACACTGAAAAAGAAATCCAGGAAACAATCTCATTCTCAACTACCATGAAAATACTTAATAAACCTAAACAAGTAAATGAAAGAACTCTACAATTAAAGTCAAGACACTAGAGAAAGAAACTGAAAAAGACACTAGAAGATGCAAAGATCTCCTGTGCTCATAGAACAGAATTAATTTTGGTGAAAATGGCCATTGCTTACCAAAAGCAATGCATAGATTCAATAAGATTGCAACCAAAATTCCAGAACCACTCTTTGGAGACATAGAGGAAGAATTTTTAAAATGTGTGTAGAAGCCCAAAAGACCAAGAGTATCCAAACCAGAACAAAAATAAAACTGCAGGAGTTATCACCATATCTGACTTCACTTATACCACAAAGCCATAGTAATAAAAAACAATATGGCACTGTGTTGGTATAATGTTCTTTTGGAATGTATACACTTTACCCTTGTTCATTCAAATGCTGATTTCTCTCTCCCACTCTCTGGTTTCAATCCAAACATTGCATTATGATACTTATTCTAAGCATCACGTGTCTCAACTTTGTGTAAAATGCCAAAATAAAGCAACCAGCCACAATGTTGAGCAATGGAAAGGAAGCAGGAAGAGAGGGAGGAGCCAGAGGACAGGAAGGTGGGAGGCAGAGGAGTTGAGAGGGCAGAGGCTGGGAGAACAGAGGAGGAGCAGAGGTCTTAGACCGAAGTGGAGAATGAACCGGACCTAAGATTTCACAAAAAGCAAGTATAATGAGTGAATCTAAATGTTAGGAAACTATGAGGGCTACGAGGTTTACGATGGAATAACTATTGACCAGCACTGTGTTCTAGGTTAATTAAATAAATCCCAGTCTAGGTGTGGTGATTTGGGCATATAGCTGTTTAGAAGTTATCAATAGTAAGTAATAATATTGTAATACAACAGCACTGGCACAAAAACAAACAAACAAACCCCACATAATTCAGTGGAATAAATGACCCATACATAAGTCTTCACAACTTTGGCTACCTGGGTTTTGATAGTTAGCAAAAATATACATTGATGAAAGGACAATTATCTTCAACAAATCATGCTTGGAAACCTGGGTATCAACATGCAGAAAATGAAACTAGATCCTTCTCTCTCATCCTGCACAAAACTCGACTCCAAATGGATCAAGGATCTCAACATAAAAGAGAAAGTATGGCATACATTTCAGCATTAGGCACAGTAGAAGCTTTGTCAATAGGACTCTACTGGCACAAGCAGTAACAATAACCAACACACAAAATCTCATTGAACCTGAAGGGATTCTACAAAGCAAAAGAAACTCACTCTGGCAAAGAGGCAGCCCCAAAATATGAGAAAACTTTTGTCAGTTGTAATTCTGACAGAAACCTAAACACCAGAAAAACAAATAACCCAATTACAAACTGGGCTATGGAACAAAACAAAATTACCAAAAGAAGAAAAACGAACAACCAGAAAACTAAGTTTTCAACATCTTTATAAAAAAAAAGAAAAAAAAAAAAAAAGAGAGATTAAACCTATTTTAAAATTCCATCTTTTTCCAGTCAGAATGGGTATCATCAAGACTATAAGTGACAACACAAGGCTGGAAAGATGGCTCAGTGGTTAACAGCACTTGCTACTTCCACAGAGTACCCAGTTTAGCTCCCAGCACTCACATGGTGACTCACAACTATCTGTAACTCCAGGTCTCGGGGTTTTACACCCTTCTGGCCTCCACAGGAACCAGGCACACATTTGGTACACATACATACAATCAGGCAAAACACTTAAACACATAAAAATTTAAAAAGTATAAATGACAAATACTGGAATGGATGTAGAAAAACCCTTGTACATACGGTTTTGGTGGGAGTGTGAACTAGTTCAATAACTTTGGAAATCAATCTGGGGGTAAAAATTATATATAAAACTAGCATATGATGCAGTCATACTACTCCTGGAGATATTCTCAAAGGACTATATATCATACCACAGAGGTTCCTGCACCCCTGTGTTCATTGCTTCTCTATTCACAATAGCTAGGAAAAGGAATTGACATACAAGTCTATCAACAGATGAGTAGAAAATATTACCAGGAATGGTGGCACATGTCTTTAGTTCCAGCACTCAGGAAGCAGAGGCAGGAGGATCTTTGTGAGTCTGAGGTCAGCCTAGTCTACATATTGAGTCTCAGGATAGTCAGGACAACATAGAAAGAACTTGTTTGGTTTTTTTCTTCTTGTTGTTGTTTGTTTTTTGTTTTGTTTTCATTTGGGTTTTTTTGCTGCTGTTATTGAAGATACTGTCCTTTCAGCAATGTTTTTACTAAATGTCAAAAATCAGGTAGTTGTGGGAGTTGGTCAGGGCAGCCCTAGAGTCCTCCAAGCCAACACAGGCTCCTGTCAGTCTCCTGATTGTTCATTAGAATAAGCCCCTGCAACCTCAAACACCTCAGTTGCAAAGTATAAAGAAAACACACTGGTACTGAACTGGAAGTGTCCTTCATGCTGACTAGCTTTCTAAGTACCAGAATATGCTAGTCAGGGAGGAAAAAGGATTAGTGGTTTTACACAATT